GAGGATATCGGTGTTATTTGTGTTTCACAGCAATGAGGATAAGGAAAGCACGGCTGTGTTGGAGTATAATTATATTTGGCATCACTGGTTTCCTTCTTGTTGCCTGGCAAAGAAGTTTAAGACTGAAACACTACAACAGGATTTGATAAATAAAAACAGATTTACCTGACTGTGTAAAAGCCAAGCATGTCCTCTAGATATGGAACTTGAAACCTGGGTTGGAATAAATAGAGCCAGGTCTGTTAATGAAGAATTGTTATTAGAGGAAAGATAATTTATTCCACTGTATTTAGAATCTTTCTAGAACCTCTCAGAGCTCCAGAGCATGGAGCCTGACAATCGTTTCTCATTCTGGCAGAGTGTAAATCTGGTTTGTAATTTAATTTGATTTTATTTAATTACTGTGGGGAGTTGGAATTAGTTAGGATTATTTCAAATAGAAAGGAACAAGAGTCATGAAGAATAGCATCCCTCCAGATCAGATGCACTAACAAAATGAACATGCTTTTTGAAAAGCAACAATTTAAATTATTCCAGGGAAAAGGCTTCTAAAAGTCATCCTCTGTCTATTGCCCCCAGAGCACAATTTAATATTTTGACACAGGGAGGGGAGAAAAAAAGATTTCAGAAGTTTCCAGACATCTTTGGTTTCTTCTATTCTTAATTGTTAGCACTAAGAGAGATGCAAGAGATTCTTTATAAGATGATTTGGGCTTTTTTTTTTTTTTTCCCCAATTTTATTTTGACATTGCATATAATAAAAGAATTTAGATTAAATAATTGGGAAACATGAATTTCACAGTTTGGTACTGAATGCAATGCAGAGTGATGGGTATGAGAGAAGGCAGAATAGAAAATAAATTTCTCATTTTAAAGCTGGGGATGGCTCTACTTGTGTTAGAATAGGACAGTACTGGAGATGTGAGGAGAGATGCAGTGGCAGACAATAGAATTGGCAGAAATCAGGATGAGGGAATCCACTTTTGCAGCCATTTGAGGGTGACAGAACAGCTCCTGTAGTTAGTCATCCCTAAGGTTAATAGGTTGTGCAGACTGCAATGCAGATGTTTACAGAAGAAGTGCATTTCATAATTGTTGCTCATAAAGATATCTTTGTTCTGCATGGATGCTTAAGTAACTTATTTCATTTTTATTCCATTATTTTAAGGATGATGAAAAATACAAGTCACTAGATATTTCATTCAGGTTTATTCAGACACTTCTACCAGGCTTAAAAAGCCAAAATGGCATAAAAACTTTTTTAACTCCAATATCTGTGCAATGTATGTTGAATGTTGTACTATGAACACTGTAATCACAGTGTGAGAGAATATGTGAAGACTTCTCTTTCCTGGCTTCACTTTGGCTACCCCATACATTTGGAGTTGAAAAGTTACGCTTGTCAGAAAGAAAAAGGTCCCTTCATGTTCCACCTGCACAGGCATTCCTAAAACCATGCATCAGGATTGCCTCTGAAAGGGTTAAACAAGTGCTGACCTGGATATACCAGTCCTCTGAAAATGTGTAAACTATATATATATATATGCTGTTCCACAATGCAATGACTTCCCCCTGGCTTTTATGTCTACAAAAGGCAATCACCAGAAGAACTATGGAGTTGCAAAAAGATAAGGCAGTTATTTTTATATATATATATATATATATATATATATATAAACAGTCAAGAAAGGCATACGAAATCTTCTATAGGCAGAATGCAAGATCAGGTTTGAGACAGAGGAAAGAGACGGAGAACCCAACTAAAGTTCAGAAACTGAGAAAGAAATTGAAGGAACGTTGGTTTCTCGGGCTAATATAGTCAGGACAGAAGTTATTTGTATGTGTAATCCCTGGTCTACATCTGTCTCAAAACCAAAAAGCCAAGAAGTGTAAATTAGTGCCTGACAGTCAAAACTGCCACATAACATAGGTGGATTTTTACTTGGAATATGTAAAACCTGTACCGTTTTACTCAGCAGATCTCATGGGGCAGCAGGGTTTGTGGTCACTTTGGAGAAGTATGAGATGAAATTTCAGTTCCATTGAAAGACAATGGTAAAAGGCCCCTTCACTCCAAAATTCTCTTGGATGCCACCCATGAGATCTTTTTACCACTGCTTCTGTTGAGAAGCCAGCACTGCTGTGAGAACGGGGACTGGGCTCCATTCAGAAAGCAGCTTGAGCTGCGTGGTCTGGTCTTGATTCCTTCGCTTGCACAACCCTCTGCAGTGATGAAAGGAAAATGATCCAACTTGGTTTTCAAATCCAAACCTGAATTTTCGTGTCTGACAAAGAGGAACCCCCTTTCCTCTCCACCCAACTGTAAAATTAACTAGTTTTCTTTGTTGATCTTTGAAAGTTACTACACATGAAACACAATGATGATGTATTTTATAGGGTGACTTTTCAGGCTGAAAGTATGATTTTAAATCGAATGTTTGGACCCTCTGCTTTTTCCTTTGATTTCAAATCACCGTGAACTCTACTTTGTGCTCCCTGATCTGACTTCCTCTCTCCTTTCAGGAAAATCTCACTGCCTTTGACAATATCATTACATAGGGGTTTGCCTAAAGGTAGCTGAATATAAGCATGTACAGCTAGTGCACTTAGTTTTTGACTTGTTTTATTCCAAGCACAAACATAGATCCCCATGTTGATGTGTACAAGTGCCCAAGCATGAGTATGCCATACTATACATACTTTACATGTGCAGCATTAGATCAAAAAGTCCAGATTTATTTTTTTTTTTTCCAAAGGCATGCTTGATTGTTCTGGTTTTGGTTTGGATTTTGTTGTTGTTGTTGTTCATTTGTTTGGGTTTTTTGCTGGCTTGGGGTGGGTTTTTTTGTAAATTATTGGGAAAGAATAATTTAAGTGATGCATACTTTTCAGCTGTATTCTGAAAGGTGCATCTCATTGTTAAAAATGTGCTGCATTTGAAAAAGAAACAAAAGAAAAAGCGATCATCTGATCAACTGTCCCATTATTCTTCTCTTTTCCTGGTGACCTCTGCCCTGGTATGTAGAAATTGGCTGATTTCTTTAAATCCCAGCAACTCCCACGGCATATGGTTCGTAAAGTAGCATTTACAGTGTGCATTGTAACACTTCATCACTACTAGAAAGACTTTGAAAGTAATATGGGTTCATGTTATTCCAAAAGTAAAAACTGCGCAAAAGTATCTCTAATAGGAAGATTTACTTTTGAGTCTACTGCTGTAAAATCAGCTTTTGGAGAGGAATGGTATTTTCTGAATGACAACTGCCACACACACAAAAAATAAATTAAAAAAGCCTCTAACCCAAAAAAACTCATCCTCAGAAAGTAGTTCTTCAAGACTGCCTTTTTTCCCACAGCCTTGTGGAGCCCCCAACCCTGTCTGCAGAAAATGAAAGAGAGAGGGGTGGGATTAATGTGTAATTAAAGGGAATTTGGAAGGCTGAGATGTTGCGGAATGTTAGATCAGTAGCTGGAACAGCATGTGGTGTTCTTTAGGCAGGCTTCATTGAATCCATACAAAAAAAGAAAGAAGGGCTGCTTGCCTGTCTGCTCATTTATCAAACAGCTAGGCTGAACTTTCACAGCTCCACAAAAGTGTTTTACTGTTCGCTGAAGTTTTGCTCCAGAAATTAAAGCTGAACAACCAAGTGACTCTGTGTCTGTGCTGCATTTTTGACATCAGCCATGTTGTGCAAAGCTCTTGGAAACCATTGCAGGTCAATTTTTACATGGTACAAAGGGAAGCTGATGGTACATTTGCTTTAAAAATAATAATAAATAATTAAAATAAATACTCAAGAAATGGTCAGATATGTGACATTGTAATGTCTTTATTTATATAACAACTTTTGATCCAAATATGTGTTCCAGGGCTTTCAGTCATCAATCAGGATTAAATATTTATCATGGTGGCAAAATGGCTAATGGAGAAAAAAAAATCTATATTATTTAATCCATTTTGTTTGGTGTTTTTTTCTAGTTGAGCAGCTATGTCTTGTATGCCTATTTTCCTTTAATATTATTTGGTGTGTCCCCCACTGAGGAAATAATTAGCAATTTATAATAATGAAAACCCAAGTAAAATAGATTATAAATTAAAGGAGAAAGAAATTCCTTTTGCAAGTGAATTGTCAAGGCTTACTGCAGCCTTTATTGTGTGACTCTTCTGCCAGAAGAATTCTCCTCCTCCTGCAGACCACACTGAGAATCAGGTTCAATTCTGTGAGGTGCTGAGCTCTGCCTTTCCAGCAAGTACAGCAGAGCTTTTTCGTCAGGACCAGCCTGGCTGACAGAGGCTCTGACTAGTGAAGGCACAATCTACATTCATTAAGCCATTTCCTTAAATGCATCTGGCACTAAGGAAGTTTTCTTTTACAGTATCAATGTTCTTTTAATCTCTGCTGACAGAACAGAGTCCAGATTTTTGATGATACCCTGCTGTTTCTGAGATGCACTAGTTTTCCATTGAGGATAAATTGATTACGAGCTATCTTTACAAATGCAACAGCGAGTCTTTCCTGCTAGAAGTGGTGCCCCTGTCAAATGGCAAAATCTTTTCAGGGAATCATCGTTTAGAAAAAGGAATGTTTCATGGCAGGGTCGTGCAGGTCTTCAAAAGACTGTGGCCTCCAAAACTCTCAAAAGGGGGGTTTCCTCTATTTGCCGATGCTGCAAACCGACATAGTCGTAGGCCCATTCCAAGTACAATCCTCCTTAGTTTAGAGGCAGAACTGATCTTAGGTTTTAAAGAAAATGTATTCTACTCCACTAACTTAATAAGGTCTTTATTTAAATTAATGTTAGTAACGGAATTATACAAAGTCTCTTTCTCCTCTTTCAGTAACAGAAAAAGTCAAAAGCTTTGTCTTTATTTATGCTGCCGTGTGTTATATCGATGTTACAGTACATTTTCCTGCTTTCCTGTCTACAATCTATATTAAATCAAATATTAGTAAATGTGCTTTAATTTTTTTTCTGATACCAGTTCTCTTTATTTGCAGATAATAAGGCAACAGTTTCCACAGCTAACAACACGAAGACTTGGAACCAGAGGCCAGTCAAAGTAAGCAGTGTATGGTATTATCATCTCACAAAGTGCCTCATCTGGCTTTTTTGATAGAATAATATAAGATCAGGAAACAATTTGTCCAGTTGGGGACTTAAAACCTAACTTTGAATGACGTTCCTTTGTAGTCTTTACATTGTCTCATTGATTCAGCAGTGATCCTGCAAAGGTAGCCAATTGGAGGCCTTTTGGTGATTTCATCAGCAGTATTTTCCATGTTGTTCCTGTGATGTTTTTCATCTCAACTCACTTTACACAATGTAAAGGACATCCGCAGCCAGGAATAATGGAGCTAATGTTGAAGGCTGGGAAATGACAGCTGGTTAATGTAATGCTTCAGTTTAGAGGACAAGTGGCAGAGTGTTATGTGGAATTTAGGTAGGAACATACATTGGCCTAAAATTAAACTCTCCACAAAGCTGGATATAGCAACCCTCTTTCCTGTGTAATGAAATCCAACATATCTTTAAGTGATCAAGGAATTAGTTTATTGCCTTACCCAAAAGATGATACTTCCTGGAAACAGTTCATCCTAATCCAAGAATAAGGAGTTGATTCAGAAAGAATAGTGCAGTCCTCAACTCCTTGACTTTTTCTAATTGTTGACAAGATGCAATTCTACCAATTCATAAAGAGGATACAGTGATATTTTAATACTCTTTTTTTTTTTTTTTTTCTGATTTTGGACTCCATTAAATTATTTCAATGGAGCTTTTGGTCTTTTTATGGCAAACATAAGTCCCCTAAATATATGTAAATATATGCTTTTCCTTATTAGCTTTCAAAAAATCCTACAGGACAGTCTAAAGGCAGTCTCAATAGATCACAAGTGGAAAACGATGGAGGAGGAAATGAAACCTGGCACAGCATGTTTGCAAAATTTTGCTGGTTAAAGTTCTCTTTCAAAACAAAGCCTAGAAATACAATATTGCTAAATGCTGAGAAATAAATATGCTATGAGAATTGAAGTTGCATATTAAATCTAGAATGACCCACTCTTTAAAGGAAAAAAATAGGATGCTTAAAGAAATGCCATTAAAATTAACTTTACTGTGCTCTTCTTAGAAGTGGTCCATACCAAGCAGTATCTCTTTGGGATCAAATGTCCTTGCCCTCATCTTGAGATTCTCCTAATTTTTATAACTAAGCTTGCTTTTTCTAGAGCAGTAATATTCAAGCAGCTAACTGAAGATTCAAAATCTCTTCCCAAATGCAAATTCAGAGCTACCATGACATCATTGATAACAGAGCTACCAGAAATCTCTCATGTGCAAATTCTGGGCTAGTCCAACAGCATATTAGGAAACCATGATAAGTCTGGACTCAGAGAATCAGGATTTAGCACTGAATGTAAGTTCTTTGGAAGTTCATGAGGATGGAGTGACAGTGTGCACAAGTTACTTTATGGAAGCATTCGTACGAGAGCACCCCCTGTAGGCCACCAAATGACTTTGACATTGGCTGCAACTTTGTTGGTTGTCTTCCCATTTAATGAAAGGAATGGTCACTGCTTTATTTCCAAACCCGAGCTCCTCCCGTGGCTCCAGGAGTCTCTCAGATGTGCAAGATGCTCTTGATTTGCAGACTGAAGGTGTGTTGCATCTCCAAAAGTTGTGTCTGCTTTCAAGGAGGCTAAAAATGGATGAGAATCCATATTTCTTTCATATATTCCCCCTAACCTGCATGCCTATCAGAGGGGATTTCAGGTCACATATTCCTCTCATGCCACCTTTGCAATTGGTCTGCCGCCTATCTAGCAAATGAAGTTGCTCTAAAGTGTGCTTGTCTGTGCTCTGCACAGTCCTTGGCCCCTGAGAGGCCCTGGTCACCTCTCTGATGGAGACCATAGTCACTCAAATTTCAGAGCCTCAGTAGGTATGCAACTGAGTTATGCTCCAAAACAGGATGCTTACATCTTCATCAGTGGTTAACAACCCAAGGATTATAGCTTGCAGTGGAGTCCTTCTCATTTGATCCAATGAAGAAGAGAGGTATAAACATACACATGCTACATGCACACTACTTCTTTACAATAAATATACTCCTTGCTAGACCCAACACAGCTTTAACTGAGCTTTGGGGGTTTTTTCAGAAAGATATAATTTTGTTCCAATTCAGTGTTATGTAAAGAAACTACTTTAAGCATTAACACTTCAGTCCCTTTGTCACCAGCTGTGCTGACCGATTGCTGCCAGTATGATTTTCATTCCACTTCCCTGCTACTGCCAAAGGAAATTCACCCATAGAAGTGGTTAAGATTATCTGACTTCACACTGTTCTGCCTTCAGTCTTTTTATAGCACGGCTGCCTTGTTACATTACAAAGTTCAGAGCTACAATGGTGCTATACTCTTGGTCATCAGTTGTGAGGCTTTCTTTTTTGCAGCTGGGTTTATTGCTGCAAGTATGCAGCTGTTCTCTATTGCACTGGGCTCAGAAACAGTTCCACCACAGGTGAGCCATGAGAAGGCAGCTAAACATAAAAGACAAGTTCTTTCTGTACTGTAGCTTGAACCTCTTCAATTACATACACAAGAGGTTAGTTAAACTGATGGAAACTTCATGCTGTGAAGGGAATTTTACTTCCTTCTTTAAAGGAGTGTTGCAGACACCAGATCCATGAGAGGAAAAAGCTTTCCACACTACTTGTGTAACAATAATTGTGTAGTCTGCATGCTACCCTTTTGCAGATCAAACATTCAAGCTTTGTTTATTGAATTAACTTGGGTTTTTTCTTGTAGGAATACAGAAAAGTGCTTGGAAAAGTATCTTTGTAAAATGCACTAGTGAGTTTTCATGATCTGAGATGGTAAAATTACTGAAGGAGGAAGCTATCTGGAAAAAATTCAGAGTTAATTTGGCTGTTGCTGTTTATACTATTTTGAAGCTACCTAGAAAACTTAAATGGACTTTACTGCCAAGTGAAATACACCATAAATTAAATAATGCACCATGAAATTCTACTATGTTATCCAGACTTTCATTCTTTCTTTTTTTTTCTTATATTGATTTAAGAGGAAGCTTAATGTAAGAGACCCACCCCTCGAGGTACCAGCTCCCTGCAGCATTTCCCTTTGGTTTCCCCATCTGCAGACTTACCAGACAGGACATAGGAGAGCTGCATGGCTCTTCGGTGCAGTGCACGCATGACAGCTGCTGGACACCCAACTGGGACTTGCACTGCAAGCTGGAGTTGTTACCGTTCAAGCTAAGAAGCTGAACATGTGTAGCTGGTGCTATAACCCCAGTGTCAGCACAAACGTGCCATTAACTATCTGGAAGAGGGTAGGACTGATCTGTTAGAACTGTTCTGATATGGAACGTGCGTTTTGGCCTAAGATCTGATTGCCGAATTCGGAGCAGATAGTGTGGCTTTCTAAGGTATTGAAGCTAGGAAATCCCTTTTGTACCATGTCAGCTTAATGTTTTCATAAATTTCTCTGGATTATTATTATTATTGAATTTAATATAGCTTTAATTTTTAATGGACAGCATGGAGTATTCTCAACAGGCATGTCAAGGGAGCCACGTACTAAGTTTTCTTCCCAGAGCATCTCTTAGTCTGTCCATGCTGGTAGTCCAAGCTGGCTTCCAGCTCTTTGCCATCACTTTCTGCTGGACATCATGACACACACTGACCTGTGGGTAAATTACTGTGAATGAAAAAAGGAAAAAAGTCCCTTGAGTTAGTTTAAAATCACTTAGATGCTACTCTACTATTTTAATTGATGATCTTTGTAAAACCAGCTGATTTTGCCTAAAGCCAATCTGACTCCCTTCAAGGGAACAGATGTGCTGTTAGCACTCTGAAATCAGTAACTGTCTGGGGAGTACAAGAAACATCTGGAGGTGGTAGCTTCCCCTGCCATCCTAGTGGTATACAGAAGAGAGTGTCTCATTGGGGTCTGGGAGACTTTTGGTGGGCTGTAAGGAGAGAACTGGAAGATAATTGAAAAATTCCTCTAGGAAAACAGGGTGAATCAAGAGTACATGAGCAATACAATCTTGTGGTGCCTTTTGTAATGATTTACAATTTAGCTGGTGGGTTGGTTGGTAGTGCCTACTGCTGAGAAACTGAGATGAAAGTTAGTACATTATGGAAGGAATAAGATTACCTGTGCTGCTGTGATGTAAAAGTCAGGCTAGATAACCAGTGGTTATGTTAACACCTATAATAAAGCTAAGTTGTAGCACAAACTTGTGCAGTAAGGCTACTGATCCATTTTTATAGCACAGCTACACTGTGATCTGCACAGAGTTACAATGTTGTAGTACCCCAGATCTAAGCCCAGTGCTGATGCCGAGTTATGAAGCAAATAATTTTGAACTGTCCATTTCCTACTGTTCATTGCTTCCCAGCAGACAGAAGGCTTTTTCTCTCCCCTCTTTTCATTGAAGTGTTTTCAGTTTAGGAGATGTTTCTGATCAATTCACTTACTCTTTTCAGGGATCTAGCCAGTCTTCAGCAGTCTGAGAATCAGGGAACTGAAATAACAACTGAAGGGCCGGTCCAGAGGGTCTGTACCTCTGCTTATTGCTAAATTAAAGGAGCAGCTGCACAGCACAGCTCTGCCAATAAGGAGTCTTAGGATGCTTTTCTTTTTTTATTATTATTTCTTTTTTTATTAAGAAGAAAAAAAATGGAAGTCCATTATTTTCCTGCCCTGCAACAGAGTCAACTTTATTAACTCTGAAGAGAGCTGCTTTTACCAAAAGGATTTACCCCATTGTTCTGCTACTAAATCAATGCTTTAAAAAAAATATATAAAATATTACACAGACTGTTTTGCTGTAGAAATCATTAACATTATCCATTTCTCATATCCCTGTTCTATTATTTTAAACCAACCTGTTTTATAAAAATATACATCTCTATGTATCAGGTACCATTATTATGGAATCGCAGTGAAAGAAAACTCCCAGTATTATGATGTGATGTATTCTAAAAAAGGAGCAGCCTGGGTCAACGAAACAGGAAAAAAAGAAGTAACCAAACAGACAGTGGCGTATTCACCACGATCCAAACTGGGAACATTACTGCCAGAGTTTCCAAATGTCAAAGATCTAAATCTGCCAGCCAGCCTGCCAGAGGAGAAGGTAACACTTTGGGAATCTTTTCTTGGCTTGTCTTGTTGGGTTTGTTGGGGATTTTTGCCTGCTCTGGATGAAAGCTTTATCTAATATATAAAGACTTTAAATTCAAGCAAGTTTAATAATGTTTTTACTTCCTTTATGGGGGACTTAATTACACTGTGTAATAGGAAGAAATATTAACCCTTAAAACAGACAGCTGACACTAGCAACTGTACAGTATTTCTAAAGCCTGTGCACAGTTTTTTCAAAAACTTAGATTTCAATCAGCAGGTGAGGTATAAGGGTAACTGTGTTTAAGTATGTTTTATCTCTTGAATCTGCAAACAAAACTGATGGCAAGCTGAAAAACAGTTCTGATGCTTTCTTGAGCAGAGGGGGACAGTAAATCTTATCCTCCTAGACTTGAAATTAAGAGAATCCTATCTGCACATATGACAAAGAGTGCTCTGGCTGCTCTTGGCTGAGGTTGCTATTTTTCTGATACTATTCATATATGTAGTATCAATGTGAAGTGTACAAAAGAATAGTGTTTTATAGTTCTTTAAGTCCTAATTAGGGCCTCTTTCTCATCTTTGATCTCACTGAAGCTTTTTGCTCCTCGTACATTTGAAGAATCCCCATTGACATAGAAAATATATTAATTCAAAGGGAGAATTTACTTTTAAGAAGAAAACTCATCTTAAAGCTAATCTGACTAATCTAGCTAGTATTTAACTGATTTCATTATTTTTGCAGTTTCATAGGTAAGATTAGAAAAAACTTACTTTTTTTGTGCTTTATATTCTGATAGTTTAAAAAGTGGATTTCTTAAAGTAGAATGATCTTTTGTGTGTCTCCATTTCATTCCTTTTCAGGTTTCTACCTTTATTATGATGTATAGAACTCACTGTCAGAGGATACTAGACACTGTAATAAGAGCAAACTTTGATGAGGTATGGCTGAAAAATACAGTTGTAGTTTAATGATACATAAAGTTTTAGTGGATCTGAGAGCTTATTTTGAATGTATATTACAAACTTATGGTTTTGTGGTGGCTGATCCTTTTCATGAACAAGGAACAATAGCTATACTTGAGTACATAATGCATGGGTGATAATGTTCAATCTCACTTGTAACACTGTGCAAGTTGGAATGAAAGCAATGGGGATGTTGGGTTTTTTTTTCTTGGCATTCTCCTCAAGAATAAGGGAACAATATCTCCTTACAAGATTTTGGACAATCTAGTTCTTGCAACTCAAGAAACAGGTCCACCTTCACTTTTCTAAGCTTCAAGTTGAAACTGAGCTCTGTTTGAAGAGCTTTGAGTGTTCAGCACAAACTCAGGGCAGGTGCCACAGGCAATATGGTGGACTCTGCTAGCCTGTTAACAATGATGCAGGGCAGTGGGGGCCTACAGCCTCCCAGACATCCCAGAAAGCTGTACCTAAAGTCCCCAGTTGCTCATTTGTACTGCAGTTCTGCTAGGAATAGAAATATCACTGCTCAGCAGTTGATACAGTCCATTGCAGTGTGCCCAGGTGGCCAAGAAGGCCAACAACATTCTGGCTTGTATCAGGAATAGTGTGACCAGCAGGAGTAGAGATGTGATCACGCCCCTGTACTCAGCACTGGTGAGGCTGCACCTTGAGTACTGTGTCCAGTTCTGGGACTCCCCCCTAGAAGTAGGACATTGAGGTGCTGGAGCAAGGACAGAGAAGGGCAACCAAGCTGGTGACAGGTCTGGAAAAGTCCTGTGAGGAGAGGCTGAGGGAATTGGGATTATTTTGTTTGGAGAAAAGGAGGCTGAGGGAGGAACCTAATAGCTCTCTACAACTATCTGAAAGGAGGTTGTAGGGAGGTCAGTGTTGGCCTCTTCTCTCAAGTAAACAACAACAAAATTAGAGGAAATGGCCTAAAGTGGTGCCAGGGGAGGTTTAGACTAGATATTAGGAGGAATTTCTTTACTGAATGAGTAGTCAGATACTGGAACGGGCTGCCCAGGGGGGTGGTGGAGTCACAATCCCTGAAGGTTCTTCAAAACCGTGTAGAGGAGGCACTTCAGGACGTGCTCTAGTGGGAGGCGAGTTGTGTTTTTTGTAGTGTATTGTTGGTGATTTTTCACTAGGGAGGAGGGGGAGTGTTGGCAGTGTTGGCAGTTGGACATGGCAATCTTAGAGGTCTCTTCTGACCATGACAATTCTGTGTGATTCTGTCATTAGAGATGGATAAGGTTTGTACCTGCTACATATCTGACTGAACGTGAGGGTTTTCTGGCAGTACATGCAGGCAGCTCTGTAATTAGAGCTGAAACATAAAATGTTACTGGAACGCAGGTGTGTTTATATTACATGTGGAGAAGAAGCCTCTAGTCCAGGAAAACAAATCTGGCTACAGAGATACGGGAGGCCTGATTCAAATATGACATCCCAGGTCCTGGAAAGAAATCAAAGGAAAAAAGATTTTTGACTTGGCCTTCTGAACAATGGCAAGAAATTCCTTGCTTTTTTTCCCCCCTCTCACTCTCTAACTCTCACACTCCTCTGGTTTAAACTGAGGCTCTTTTAAGTCATTGTACCCAATCTAGATGTTTCCATGTGAGAGAAATATGTAACCTATATTCAGGAAGTTTTGCTGGGTGAATCTCAAAATACTTTCTTAAGTGGAAGGTTTTGTATTTTGTTAGGGAAACTGTGAGCAACAATGGTATGGAAGGCATTGAGCAGCAACAATATATAAATGGTAAATATTCTTTACTGCACCTGGTCTGGTTACTTACTTCAGCACAGATTGTGTGCAAGAGGTTATCATGAATACTGGTGTTCTGACCCCTGTATAACTTAATCTGTCATTCACAGAGTTATTTCCTAAATGAAAATTTTCAGAGGTATATTTTGTTGTGTCTGAAATATCCCCATTTTCTTTTTTGTGTTTCTCCATTCTTTTTCCTCTTTCCTTCATAGTGGAGGAAAGAAGAAACCCCAAAGTGTGTAGTGTTCCTTTCCAAAAGGAATACAGAAAATGGTATATTGACCCCTGTAAGCCATGTGCTATCCTCCTCTCCCTCCCTGCACCAAGCCCTCGCTTGCCCTAGACAGAGAGCAAAGAGAGAGCAAAAGGCTTGACACGTGGAAACCAAGAGTTACATTCACCATTTTGCTGCTTATCCCATTGTGAGCTGCTTTAGGGTGTAAGCCTGTCTGGTTAAGGAATATGCCTTGCCTGTTTCAGCTCCAGGGCTGAAACAAATGCTATATAAGGAAGGTCATTTAAAGAAAATGGTATTTGTGGCTTCTGATTATTTTCACTTAAGCATACCAGCTTCTTCTTGTGATTGCAGGTTCAAAGTTTTCTTCTGCACTTTTGGCAAGGGATGCCTCCTCATATGCTGCCTGTATTGGGTTCTTCAACTGTAGTGAATATAGTGGGAGTTTGTGACTCAATTCTGTACAAAGCAATTTCTGGAGTTTTGATGCCAACGGTACTACAAGCGTTACCTGACAGGTCAGTACAGCCAGCAACATCTTTTCTTCAAAAATGGCACCACTTCTTAGAAAGCTGATTTCTGCAACTCATTTCCTGCATTCAAATCACAGTGTGAATTCAAAGGAGTTGAAGAGCTGACATGTTCCTGAATAAATGTTCAGATTTTAACAATACTTGTACTGTAAAAAAATGTGTACCCTTTATCATGCAAGTAATAACTACTTTCTTCTTGGCTTATTAATACGAAGATGATAGTGACATCCCAACTTTCAAGTAATGTCAGATACCTGCAGAGTGCCACACTGTCTTCTGAAAGTTTCAGACACTTTTCTGCTAGTCTGGGATAACAGCACAACAGAATTCTGAATTACGGTGACAAGAGGAGCTGCCCTGGCTGCTCTGTTTGTAAATACTCACACGCATACTCAGACACTGCAACCTAAGTATTTGTCTCCGTTTACACTCTTGGAACTCAATTGTTATTCTGCTTGCCAGGAGTACAAAACATGAGATCATACTTGTGAAGTCTTGGACAAGCTGGTTTAATTTAAATACTATCCTATGAAGAACAGATGTATGCTTATTTCAAGGTTGCTTTATTAATATTAACAAGTATTTGTTTGTTTGCAAGTATTCTTTGTTTCAAAGATATATTCATTTTTCCATTCCATGCAGTAGATTTCAAGTGTTTTCTTCCTACCTGGAGCTCATCTGAGTCCAGGAAGTCTTGTTTATATAAGTAAAACAGAGATTGCCAGTACACAGCAAAAAGTGTAACCACTAAGTGGAATCAACCTATTTAGCCCTTCAATTTTCCCAGTGGGAGCATCAGGAAACCCTCTTTTTCTAAATATAGGTATACTTTTAGCATTATTTGACTGACACTTTCCTGAGATTGAGTAATTTGTTAAGAATATTGCACTAGAAGTTTATTATTGGTAGTGAATATTTGGCCCTCAATATTTTAAAGCAGCTCTAGTTATGGCAAGTATTTTGAAGATGTTGTTCTGTTCTCCTATGTCCACTGTATGACTGCTAAATACAGGTAAAGTTTTTTTTCCACAAGAAACCTATGGAAACCATGGGCTTTCCTTGATAAGACATGTACATTTTTATAGGCTTTGCCCCTCATTCCCCCTGCCCCCCTCCCAAATCTATTTCATTGGAAGGATTAAACAGAACAGCAGTCCTTTTCTCAAGCTGCTTAGTTCTTTCATAGCAAATAAGGAGAGACTTGAGTGTGAATATAGACTTTTGTAATGCATATAAAGGGCCAGATTGTGGCTATTAAGCCATAGCCTGCACTGGAGGGGGTGAAGAAGGGTCTCATTGCAATGGAAGCTCCTGAAGAAAATCTTGCTGACTCAGCCAGAATCCTCTAAGGGGCTTCCTGGGAACAAATTTTGGCTGTCCAGAAAAGCCACTTTTTAGTGGGTTCAGC